TACATTGCTGGCATAATCCTTATATTTTTATGTTCAACAGGGTCGTATGTTGCTGTTTGCATTCACCAGGGTCTATGGTTATCGGAAGCGTACACTTACAAACATAAAGCCGTAATCTATCAGCTCGGAATATACAAGATGGTTCTTGAAACACAAAGCAAACGAAAACATACTTCAGAGGAACGTTCGTCACTAATGAAGCCATGGCTCTTAATAAAGATACTTTTCAATACAACGAAGTGTGCAACTAATATCACTACAAACTCACTCCGCTGCTGATATGCACAGGTGTGGTTCTAATATTTCTAAGCAAGTTTGTCAAATGCCTTCCTTTTGTTTAGGGCCCGTCTTAACGGGTTCGGATTTATTTATGTTCGGATTTATGTTCGGATTTTCTCTACACCAATGGGTAGAGGCTAATTATAAACTTTCCAAAACAAAATCCAAAAAAAAAACTTCGAGGGCGTCGTACCCCTTAAAGAAAATTTATGTTCGGATCGGATTTACGGGATTCGGAATTTTTTTATACGTAATTGCGGATTAAATACGTACTGGAATCTAGGAAATGTGTTCAACTTCACAAGCTTTGTGATTGGTTAGTACGTAAACATACATTGTCCATTTTAGAAAATTAGTCCGAAATTTTGTCGTGGGACACGGTTAAAAGACAGGTTCGCCCCCCCAAAAGAAAATCCGAACATAAATCCGAACATAAATCCGAACACAAATCCGAACACAAATCCGAACCCGTTAAGACCCACCCTTAGAACCATTCTCGGGCTTCATTCACCTCATCATGATACATAGTACATATTTTTCTGACATCGCTCTCTCGTGGTATTCAGATGCTGTCGGCCCACAAAAAGTTAAATAAAACCACATTATAATAGATATGCGGATCCGATATCGATAAATAATTCGAGTTTACCACAGCGACAGGGACCGACCGCCCGAGGCCAGCGAGGCCGAGACTTGAAACTCGAGACTCGAGTCTCGAGTCTGAACCTACTCTGATGAGACCCGAGCGGCTGACTGTAGAGAGTAGACTGTAGACGATTTTAGAACACCGTCTTTTTATCTATTTATAGATATTTACTTGGTATCTGAGGCAGATTTTGCGACTATTCTGGATAGCCAATAAAACACATAGAGCATATTGTGAGCAAAAATAATATATATATATATATATATATAGATAGATAGATATAGTACGTCGAAAATATACGACATATTTATGTTGTATTTATCACGGTGTCAATGAAGTGGTGTCTCAAATTCCTATAGATATCTTGAGTTTTGTTTTTAAAAAATACGTATTATTTTCATAGCCTTCTGAAAATTGAACAATTTTGCTTTTTATTTTTAATTGTATAGAAAAAACAATATTGATTGTATGTACGAATTGTTTTGTAAAAAATAAAAATAATTACTGCCCTCCGGCCAGCCTCTGCGAGAGTGACCTGACTCCTGAGTCTGCTTACTTTTTTTTGTTTTTTTTGTTTTTTTTAATGTTTTTTTCGGAGTGACGAAAAAAAATATATATATAAAACCTCTGGGCCACGACCAGAGTCAAAGTGTCACTCCGTCTCACAGACCCACAGACCACAGTCCTGAGTCCACAGAGAGGCACACCCTGAACAGTAAAAAGTGAACACTCACAGTCTCACAGAGTCACAGACAACTCACTCACAGTTCAGTCAGTACTCAGTAACACACACGGCAACACCGTAATATGTACGTCAGAGTATGAAAGGATGATCCTACAACTGTCATCACTCCCATACGACCTACAGAGTAGTATAGACGTCAGACCGTTGGAGTCCGAGTCTGTAGACTGTACGACAGCAGTCACAGACTCACAGCCTCGCTGAGTCACAGCACCTTCGAGTTTCGGAAGGAGTGCAACAATGGAGTCATATCAGTATGAGCCAATTGGAAGCAATATGACCGGCTGAAGCACACAGATTGCCGATTTTTCACCTGTAATAACAATATTTTTATTGCGGGAGCTGTCATCACTTTTATGGGCTATTGGCTGTCAATTTTTTTTAGTTGCTAATGAAGCTCGCATAATTTATTGGTTCTTCGAAAGCATGCTTTGGTTTTTGGGTTTAGGGTTTAAAAAAGAAAACCTAAATCATAAATCTTAGCCTTCAAAAATGTTCTAATTTTTAGAGGCCGTACGAAAAAAAAAAGGACAGGAATCATAGCCTTCTTTTTTTTTAAATTAATTGAAACAGAACTCAGAAGGCCTCGTGGGGCGTGGGGCCGTGGGGCCTGCTTGGGGGCCTGGGCCCACTGGGTGACTGGGGTCTGGGACTCTGGGGGTGTTTCGGGTTTCCACATTCCGGCTAAGTTCCGCCTCTTTGCAAAAGGTTTGACTCATAAATACTTTTTCTTTTTATTATAACTGTTTTAGGCCGGCGTATCTCATCTTTGTCACTTTGATCATTGCTCAACGCCTGTCGAAATTTTAAATGAGCATGTGGCAACGAGTGAAAGGCGGAGGAGGCATTTTGTCGTACGTATGTTGTTTAAAAAAGCACCGATGCTCTGATGCAAGCAGCACGCGGGCGAAGTGGTTGTCCGTTGTACTGTGAGTCTGTGATACACTGATACTGTAGTTTTTTTCAAATAAGAAGTACTGTAGTAGGTGAAATATTTATTATAGTTCAGAGGTTTATTAATAGCGGGTGGAATGAGTCTACGCAGAAATTCGTCAGGTACGCTATTGAACACGTACGTACTCTCACCTTCCAACACACACAACTACAGAGTATCGCAAGAGTACCAACAATCTAAGCTAAACAAACCACCTTCAAGTGGTTCATACAAATACAAGATGAGTGACACTGACGACAGGAAGATGGCAGGTGATTACAGCCTGTCCGACACTGCCGCACCTGATCATGGCCGTTCGGCTCACAACTACACAACACGAACACCCTCAGCACCCATAGTCAGCCCCAGGAGTAGTGCCTGTACACCTAGATACCTGGTCGGACTAGTGTTCTTGGCTTTTGTAGTCATCATATGGGTGGGATCGTCATGGTTGATGAAGTTTATATATAGCTCGGGTGAAACCAGCTTCAACAAGCCCTTCTTCCTGTCATACTACAACGCTTCCATGTTCTCTGTTTACTTGCTGGGATTTGTGTGGAGGCCGCAGTGGAGAGCGAACTGGCCGACACGCGAAGAGTTCAAGTACGTATATCTTAGTTCTATCTCAGTATCGTATTGCAAACATGTGCATGGACACCGCATTTCTATTATATGTATTTTGTTTTTGAATTTATGTGTAGTATTCTTTTTTGTTATTGTATTAATCCAAGTTTACAGGCATAGCAAAATATTCTTGTTTGTGTACTTA